CTTGCAGTAATAGTTATTAGACTTATCCAAGTGGGATACTGTTGGATAAGGTGTCTAAGTCCATAACTATTTCTGGTATGTACTTGACCCGACCCGGCATGGTCCATTTGGGTTGCATGGCACCATGCAATTGGATAGACTAAATGAGAGAAATAACACTTGGAGATTATTAATATATTATAAGTTCTAATATATTAATAATATTATTTGATTAGTTTGATCAAGAATTAATTTAGAATTAATTAAGTGATCAAAAGATAACTAATTAAATATATGGGTTGATTATGTAAATCATCCATATCTTGTATAGTGGGCTAAAAGGCTCCATGGACCATCAAGTTGGGTTCCACCCATAGGATGCTCCATGGGAGTTACAAACCCATGGGTCATGGAAATGAAGAGTCATGACACATTAGGGTTTAACCCTAGATGTGTCAACACTATATAAGTAACATATTCTCCACCCAAAATCGGCTACACTAAGAAACAAGAGGGCTTGGCCGATTTTGAAGAAGTGAGTATTCTCTCATAAGTTCTTCCAAGAGCATTTGGTGTTGTGTGAAGCATTTGAGGCATCACACTTGGGGTGCTAGGCTCACAAGGTTTCAAGGAACACAAACAACAACAAGGTAAGTTATTCTATCTATACTTTATGTTAAAATTGTTCCCCATGTATGCTAGATAGGAATATAACCTTGGAATTCAACTTTGCATGATAATTAGACAAACATAGATCCAAGGTTATTAGGGTTGCATGTACACTTAGGAAGTGTTAGAATGCTCAAAACCCATCATCATGTTCTTTCGTGGGTTATGTTTTGAAGAGAAACAATAATGAATTTCATAAAGTCATTAATATGAGTGGAAGATAACGTGAGATTAGCTGTAAATGAGTAAAAGGAAAATGACTATGGAGGGTAACTAACTATTGAGTTTGTTTTCATTTTATCATTTTTTTTATCCAATATACCATCGAACTTATTGTTTGTGTTCACCATAACCTTTTGACCGACTATTACATGTGATAACCGGTCAAAAGTCAGTCAAAAGGGCTATGATGAACACAAACAACAAGTTCGATAATATATTGAATATAAAAATAAAAAAATAACCAAATAGAAACAAACTCAATAGTTAGTTACACTCCAGATTTTCCTATAGTTTTTTAATGAAAAAACCTAAACCTAAAAACCCAAAAGTATTGTCTCTATGATAGAAAAAAAAATCTTTCATTTTGCTTTTCCATGTTTGTTTGTATATATTGTGATTGTCCGTCCGATTGAAAAAAAAAAATACGAAACTGCAAAATAATTGAATAATTGAAAAAATCTAAAAAGTACGAGACTCCAAAATAGTTGAAAAAATCTCATGCCAAAATTTGTAAATAAACCCTCTTCTCTAATCTCTACAAAACCCCTGTTGTCGCCGTCGATTATCCTACAAATCCATCACTCCTGCTTCTTCTCCACACATCGCATACGTCACTGATACTTGTTCTTTCGTCCACAACGCAACTGCCTCTCTCAATCAACAAGGTAAGTAATTAAACCCTAATTCATTTCCATTTTGTCGGTTAATTCAAATAGAATCCATCTCCAAATGTCAAAACAAATTTCAACCCCGAAAACAAGCATTCAAGCGCAGAAACGGAAATTAGGTTTCATTCTAGATATTCATGCCGTTGTTGCTGCTGCTTTTCCAGGCGCTTTGATTAGGTTATTTTGTCAACTGTAAACGATCTTATAACATAACAGTCTTAAGAATAAAAGGTTCCATAACCACCCACAGTTACAGTTTAATAATGGATTCAACACTACAAGTGTTAGTACAAACCTATCCCTTCGACAATCCATTGATGCTTTACACGGATTCTGTGAAGAAAACACATACCCAAAGCTAAACAAATCAAACACCTGTTTTCATTCTCTTTTTTTTTCTGATATAGATGGCAAGATGGGATGAGATTCTATCACTCCCTGTTCAAAACCCTCCAACTTTAGAATTCTCAGCATTTGACCTTATATGGTCAAAGATAGAAGGTCATCGTGACAATATGGACAGACTTGCCCTTGTGCCCTTTGCTAGAGTTGATGACTTTGTTCGTGGTGAATCCAACAACAAAGATTGCCCCACAAGATTTCATGTAGAAGCTAGAAGAAGACGCCCTCCAAAAATGCCTTACAAACCTAAAGTCGATGGCATTCTTGAATACATTCTGTAAGTTTCTCATCTTAAAATCGATTCATTTTGTAAGGGTAAAATGGTCATTTAGTCTGATGATATTTTCTAGGTATTGGTGTTCATTTGGGCCAGATGATCATAGAAAAGGGGGAGTAGTAAGACCAAGTAGAAGCACATACATACCAAAAAAGAAATCCGCGGGTCGACCCAACACAAAACGGGGCTGCACATGTCACTTCATAGTCAAACGTCTAATAGCAGAGCCATCTGTAGCCTTAATAATCTACAACCAAGACAAACACGTGGACAAAAAAGGCCTTCCATGTCACGGCCCACAAGACAAGAAATCTGTGGGGACACGTGCCATGTATGCGCCATTCATCTCAGAAGACCTCCGCCTACGTGTCCTTTCTTTGCTCCACGTAGGCATCCCGGTTGAAACAATCATGCAAAGACACAATGAATCTGTTGAAAAACAAGGAGGTGTTTGCAATAGAGATGATCTTTTGACACATAGGTATGTGAGGATTCAAGAAAGGAATATTCGAAGATCCAATTTTGAACTTGATGAAGATGATGACGTCAGCATTGGGATATGGGTTGAGAGAAATCAAAATCATGTGTTTTTTTATGAGGATTATTCGGATAATGATCCGTTTTGTTTAGGGATTCAAACTGAATGGCAATTGCAACAAATGATTCGTTTTGGTAATGGACGTTTACTTGGTTTTGATTCGAGTTTTGGTGTTAATAAACTAAAGGTATGTCTAATTGTTTTATAAAATATAAATTTTTATGAAATATATAATTTTTTTTAAATAAACTTAATGCAGTGTCCAATTCAAAGTCTTGTTGTGTTCAACTCAGAGAATAAAGCAATACCTGTAGCATGGATAATAACACCGGTTTTTTCAAGATCAATTGATATTCATAAATGGATGAGAGCTCTTTTTAATAGAGTAAGGACTAAAGATCCAACATGGAAATTAGCTGGATTTATAATCGATGATCCTTTGTTTGATATACTTACTATAAGGTTTGACTATTAATTAATAATAAAATATGCGAATGTTTTTTCTAAAAAAATTGGATATTAAAATTTGGATTTGATGATATCAGGGAAGTGTTTCGATGCTCTGTTTTGATTTCATTTTGGAGGGTTCGACATGCGTGGCATAAGAATTTAATGAAGAGGTGTTTGGATATGGAGACAAGGGCAAAATTGTCAAAAACGCTTGGTCAAATAGTCAAAGAGATGTGTAAAGGATGTGGAAACTTTGAATCTTTTGATAAGTTTATGGAAGATTTTAAGGAATGTAGAGATTTCATCGATTACTTCAAGGCAACTTGGTATCCTAGAATGGGTTAGTCACAATTAATTATTTATACATTTTAGAGCAAAATACATTAAAAAAAATATATTTTTGTTATTTCTTGTGTTTAATTTAATCTTTATTTTTTGTTCCGATTAGGCCCTTGGATCGATGCCTTCAAAACCCTACCCGTTTCCAGCCAAGAAACTTCATCAGCTCTCGAATTTCATCACAACCAATTAAAGATCCGTTTACTAAACGAACCCGACCCGTTTATCTACAAACGGGTCGATTGGTTACTCGATAAACTCGCTACCAAAATCCAAGCCTACTTTTGGCTCGATGAATACGAGGGCAAAGACGACTTTTCACGCTACTGGAAAGACGAATGGACAAGCGGTTTAACCGCGTGGCGCAAATCACGGGCAATCCCAGACACCGATGTTTTGACCGAAGGTCAAACGGTCAAAGTTGTTGACCAAAAAGACCGAGAAATAGCTCATGTTGTGTGGAACCCGGGGACGGAGTTTGGTATTTGTAGTTGTGGGTGGGGGCAAAAGGGTAATTTGTGTGAACATGTTTTTAAGGTTGTTTGGTATTTTAGGGAAAAAGGTTCGGGCAGTCCTTCAGTCAGCTTGTTACAGTTTAATCGGGGTTTGATTGATATGTTGAAATGCCCGCCCGCTAATTCTTTTATAAGGGATCATGCGGTTTCGTTAGCGGTTTGGGTTAATGAACAGCTTCGAGGGCAATTTGGGAAAAGTGGGAGGGGCGAAATGGTAAATTCGTGTACACGGATGGAAGTTGACTTGTAGTAAAATGTATTTATATTACTTAACACATAATAGCAACCTACTTGGAACATTTTTTGTTCAATTCGTTATAAGTTAAAAGGGCATCTTTAATTGTTATTTTTTTTTCAAAGATCTATTACTTATGTCATATGAGTTTTATATTAACCTTTGTTTATTAAAGAGTTATTATTATTATTATTATTATTATTATAAACTCTATTTAGTGGTTAACTTTTGGAAAAGCTTTTTTTACCGATTTGTCTTTATTATCTGTGTGTTTTATAAACTCTTTTCATACGGTTTTTATTTTTTAAGTCTTGCAGGAAGTTTTGAAAAATAACATTAGTTGATATTAATATATTAATTAATAAAAAATAACAGTCAAATAGTGGAGCAGCAAGCCGATGACTATGAGTCTAAAGATTTTTACCCGTAGCCAATGAGACGAAGCCACGTTCGCAAATCATCTCTCATTTTTTTCAATTATTTATTTTAATTATAACACCGATATGACAAAAGTTTCGCCAGTGTACCCACCATTTCGCGGTAGGTCATGTTTCATAGCACGAAAGTCAGCTTTGGAGACAAAAAGTCATTTGCCGGTGGACCCACCTTTTCCTTTTAAGTACACTTTTAAGTTTTAATTTACCATATAAACCATCTGGGATTTTGACCACATGGAAAGAAATCTAGTTGATTGTGATTCACGACAATGATTCTCAGAAGCAGTGTCGCTCAGCTTCATCATCATCACCAGTCTAATCAACCATCTCGTGTTCTTCCGCGAAAATCTTCTTCAGGTAACCTAACGCTTTCACTGTTTTATCCAGATTCTGTTATCACTTTATGTGGATTTTGATATCCGAATGCTTTTGCACTTGTTAATTCGCAGAAAACAATCGCATCAAGCTCCCTATCTCTCCACACACCCTCTCTTTATCTTACTCTGATGTTCAATTGAAACGTAATTATTCCGATTCCTATGATTCTGCGTGTTCTAGTTCATTTAGCGATTGGATTTTGATCATAAGGTTGTTGTTGATGATATGTAGATTGGGGTTCCAGATTAGTGGTTCATAGACGTGTATCTGGAGAGTTTTCTGATGGAATTATCGATCAGGATGAACATGAACCTCCAAATTATGCACAAATCTCACCTCAGGTACTAACTTGTTACTCATTTTTTTACATTTCATTGAATTCGAGTAATATTTTGTGCGCCAAACATCTAATTCGTGACCTAAAACATATTTAGACGTGTGACACCTAATTTCTTTGAAAAACCCATGTCAGGGATTTTTTTTGAAAAAACCATGTTAATATATGCAAAACTCATGTAATGATTGTTTTGAAAAAAACCCATGTCATGAATGAATTTTTTTTCAATAAATGTGTTTTTTTCATGCTAATTTCATTGACATCAATATATGCTTTGGCAGAGACTTGAACACACGACATCTTTTGTGGAAACTCTAAAGAAAGCCAACTTTGTATTGCCTCAAGTAGTTCTTGCTACTACAATATTGGTTCTTATCTTTCCACCATCTTTCAATAGCAGGTTAAATAATACTTCCTTTTGTTCCAACTTCCAATATATTAGTCCTTTTAGGCCCCATTTCTTACAAAGGACATGACCATATGAAAATGACATGAATACCCTCCCATCAAAAATAGTCCTAGAAAACTTGTCTGTACTATCCAGGTCTTGTCATGTGTAACCAACGCAACCATAAATTATAACATTATTAGGTAAGTGGATTGCTAGCATGCATTTTCATCTTAACAAAGCTCACATTGTTTTTTAAAATTTTGTTTTTTTTTTTAACAAAAAAAAAAAACAAATTGCAGGTATTATGTCCAGGGTTTATGTTTCTTGATGTTTGGAGTCGGACTTAATTCAAGTGAAAAAGATTTTATTGAAGCTTTCAGTAGGCCACAAGCTTTTTTTGCACGTTATCTTGCTCAATTTGTTCAAAAACCATTCGTTGGTTATCTTTTTGGAACATTGGTCATGACAATCTGTGGCTTTCCAACTTCCTTAAGTAAGTTTCACCATCTTTCTTTTTCTTTTTCTTTTTTAGTTTGTTTATTATTGTAATTAGAGACCAAAATGCTAAGAATACTTGTATTTACTTGATCATACAAAGACAAAATATACAAATATGTATACACAAGAGAATGCGACTAAAGCAGTAAAACTACACCCTACGATTCTGTTGGGTCTATTTTGGGCCTGACTACTTTATACACTTAAATAATTATTCTGCTTATTATGCATGTAGTTTGTTTATTATTATTCTTATTATGCGGATAATTTGTTTAGGTGCTGGGATTATGCTAACGTCTTGCGTTAGTGGGGCCCAACTCTCGAAATATGCCACTTTTCTAATGGACCCCACAATGGCTCCACTAAGCATTGTTGTGACGTCATTATCTACAGCTATTTCTGTTTCTGTCACCCCACTTATAACCCTTTTACTGATTGGAGAGAAATCGCCTGTTGATCTCAAACAAATGGTTTCCAATATTTTGAAGATTGTAATTTCACCTCTTGCTTCTGGCTTGCTTCTTAATAGGTAAGGAGACATTCGTATGAATTGCATTATAGGGTATTTTAGGTATTTACTTAATGTAGTTTGTTATGATAGAATCTTCGAAATTTTCTTTTCTTTTTTGTTTCTTACGGATGTTATTTTTTTTTTTTTTCATCTACAGATATTTGCCAAGAATGTCTAGCACCATTCGACTTTTTTTACCACTTTTATCAGTTCTAGTGACTTCACTATGTATCGTATCTCCCATTGCTATTAACATATACTCTATTTCATCGTCTTTTGAGATAACACTTTTGGTGATTTTTATCGTGCATCATTTATCAGCATTTGTCCTCACAAATGCATTTTTGATGGCATTGTTTTCCACAATTCACCTAATGTCAAACCACTTCAGAGACAGCTATCTTACAAAACAGGTTATTTATACTTCATCTTTTGCTTCTTTTTAAACTTGCATTCTTCACTTTTTGACACTTGACTATAGGAAATAACAACGTACTTTGTATATATGTATTTTGTCAAAATTTGATCAATCTTACGTATTGTTGTGGTTGTTTTGAGCAAATTGCATGAAATAGCAACACACTTTATTATTATTATTTTTTTTTTATAATATACACAATGTACTTGTAGTTGTTTATTGATAATAGAAATATGTAAAATAAAGTGCATTGTTTATATTGGTAGCAAAATGAAGTTACATTGCTATTAAGGGTAGAAAAAAATATATATATAGTATGTTGCTATTCTGCTATAATGGGTAAAAGTTATATGTTATCAGGGGTATTAAAGTAACACGTGCATTGCTATTATAGTTAAAAAAAAAAAAAAAGACAAAATTAGATAAGTCACATGTTAGTGTTTTTCTTTGTTGTACGAAATGAGCCAAGGGGTATTTAACAAAGTGTAGGAGGAAATTTTGAGTTAACTTAGGGTTTTGCTATATGTTTCAGTTTGGTAGAGATGAAGGGAGGAGGAAATCTTGATGCAACACCTTATCGTTTTAAATGGGGGTGGTGGTGGAGGTGGATGGAAAAGGAGGCGGGACCCTTGTATTTAGTGCTAATTTAATATTGTGTAATATAGAAAAAACAGATAAAAGATAAAAGAAAAAGGGATTTAAAAGTCATTTTACATGATCAATGACCACCATTATTTACATAAAACTGGAATAGTTACATAACAAATAATCAAAAAAACATAAGAGTAAAGCCATATATTACCCACCAAATGGGGAGCAACTTCATTCTATCCAACTTTTTCCCAAAATTACCCCTGAAATTAAACCACTCAAAAGCCTGTGTGATGATAAGATTCGTTGTTCTTGTTGAAACCATTTTTTTTTTGTCTAATGTAAGTAACTAATATTTTAAATATTATTAAAAAGATATATAATCATAATAACAGTATTGTGTGATAATCACAAAATGATCTCGTATCGATACAGAAATTTCGAAAAACATTGATGTTATATATATATATATATATATATATATATATATATATATATATATATATTCATCAATTATCTTCTAACATAATGCAAAACTTGTATTATAAATATCTTCCAAACTATCTCTATGGACACAAAATGTAAAAACCCAACAAGGGTTATATACTTATATTTGTGGACACATATACACCATGGTTTGTACTTTGTACCATTTGCCATGATATATCGAAGTTTGGAGAATTTAATATCTCCCACAACCTTCCAACGCAAACAATGAAAAACTCATTCGATAAACTCAATTTTGTGAGGAGAAAATTTGTTTGGCAATTGCTTCCAAACTAACCTTAAATAAGAGCATCTATAATATTAGAATAATGATTATTAAAGGTCACTTTAATCCCTTATTCTTTCTTGACTATTTCTTTTTCTTTTAGCCTTTGTCACATTTGATCTTTTCAATTTAGTAATATTTATTTTATACCCTACTTATATTATATATTAGCTTTTTTAGGCTTTCAGTTTAGTTAATTAATTGATGTAATAAACATAATAAAAATTAATATACTCTATGAAAAGATTATATAATTTAAAAGGGAACAATTGTCAAAAAATTTCAAGTTAAAAAGACATCAAATATTACAAAACATTCTAGTCAGTTTCACACGACAAAAGTCATATTTGGGAGACAAAAGTCAGTTTGTCGGTGGACCCACGTGTTTCTTTCAAGTACACTTTTAATTTGCCCATTTTTATTCCATTTTGACCATTTCAGACTTAGGAAAGAAAATCTAGTTGATTGTGATTCACGACAATGATTCTCAGGAACATTGTCACTCAGCTTCATCATCACCAGTCTAATCAACCACCTCGTGTTCTTCCGCGAAAATCTTCTTCAGGTAACCTAACGCTTCACTGTTTTATCCAGATTCTGTTATCACTTTATGTGGCTTTTGATATCCGAATGCTTTTGCACTTGTTAATTCGCAGAAAACAATCGCATCAAGTTCCCAATCTCTCCACACACCCTCTCTTTATCTTACTCTGATGTTCAATTGAAACGTAATTATTCCGATTCCTATGATTCTACGTGTTCTAGTTCATTTAGCGATTGGGTTTTGATCATAAAGTTGTTGTTGATGATATGTAGATTGGGGTTCCAGATTAGTGGTTCATAGGCGTGTATCTGGAGAGTTTTCTGATGGGATTATCGATCAGGATGAACATGAACCTCCAAATTATGAACAAATTTCACCCCAGGTACTAAATTATTACTCCTTTAATTTTTACATTTCACTGAATTCGAGTAATTTCATGTCTTAAATGCACTATCTATTCATGTTTCCACGTTCTTTATTTCTCATGTACGTAAGGATCTTTCTTTTTTCATTTCTTTTAATAGTCACGGATGAAAAAAAAGCCTTCAATAAATGTATTTTTTTCATGGTAATTTCATTGACATCAATATATGGTTTAACAGAGACATGAAGAAATTCCAAAGGAAGCCTACTCTGTATTGCCTCAAGTAGTTCTTGCTAGTACAATATTGGTTCTTTTCTTTCCACCATCTTTCACATGGTTCAATAGCAGGTTAAAAAGACATTAATACCCTCCTAATCTCATCATCAAAAATAGTCCTAGAAAGCTTTGTTTTTTTTTTTTAACAAAAAAAAAAAACAAATTGCAGGTATTATGCCCCGGCTTTATGTTTCTTGATGTTTGTAGTCGGACTTAATTCAAGTGAAAAAGATTTTGTTGAAGCTTTCAATAGACCACAAGCTTTTTTCGCACGTTATCTTGCCCAATTTGTTCAAAAGCCATTCATTGGTTATCTTTTTGGAACATTGTTCATGACAATATGTGGCTTTCCAACTTCCTTAGGTAAGTGTCGCTGTCTTTCTTTTTCTTTTTTAGTTTGTTTATTATTGTAATTATGCGCTTACTTTGTTTATTTTGATTTTGTAAACCATTTAGGTGCTGGGATTATGCTAACCACTTGCGTTAGTGGGGCCCAACTCTCGAAATATGCCACTTTTCTAATGGACCCCACAATGGCTCCACTAAGCATTGTTGTGACGTCATTATCTACTGCTATCTCTGTTTCTGTGACCCCACTTTTATCAGTTTTGCTGATTGGAGAGAAATCGCCTGTTGATCTCAAACAAATGGCTTCCAATATTTTGAAGATTGTAATTTCACCTCTTGCTGTTGGCTTGCTTCTTAATCGGTAAGGAGACAAATTAATTTAGTGAAGGGTTATTTTAGGTATTTACTTAATATACTTTATGTCTTTATCTATTTTTTTTTTTTTTTAATGTACAGGTTTTTGCCAAGAATGTGTAGCAACATTCGACCTTTTTTACCTCCTTTATCGATTCTAGTGACTTCAGTATGTATGGTGGCTCCTATTGTTGCTAACATAAACTCTGTTTCATCGTCTTTTTTTATAAAAGTTTTTGTGCTTGTTACTGGGCTTCATATCTCAGCATTTGTACTCTCAAATGCATTTTTAATCGCATTGTTTTCCACAATTCACTTGATGTCAAACTATTTCAGAGACAACTTTCTTACAAAACAGGTAATTTATCCATTTCTTCTAAATTGACCAATCTGACATTTGTAGTTACATTGCTATTATGGGTAACTAATGTATTTGTAGTTCTTTACTGATAATAGGAATGTGTGACGAATAAAATACATTGCTTATATTGGTAGCAAAATGTAGTTACATTGCTATTATGGGTAACTAATAGAATATATTGTTATTATCAGTAGATTTAAATGTAAGTACATTGCTACAATGGGTGAAAGTTATCTAAGGTTGTTATAAGGGTAATAAAAGATAAGTATGTTGCTATTATAGTTATATAAAAAAAAGATAAAATTACACAAGTCATAGGTTATTGTTTTTCTTTGTTGTAATGGACAATTTGGTGTTTTTCTTTGTTGCAAGGTATGAAGCAAGGGGTATTAAACAAAGTGTAGGAGGAAATTGAGTTAACTCTACACGTTTAAGGTTGGTAGAGATGAAGGGAGGAATAAATCCTTATACGACATGTGACTTTCAAACTTGTGGAGCCCTTGTAATTTAATACTAATATAAATTTTAATTAAAAAAAAATATATTGCAAATTTGGTTCATGTGGTTTGTTTTGTTGATTTCTTTGGTTACAAGTGACTTTCAAAATTGTGGATATGGTTCTTTTGATCTATTTTTATTGTTGGTAAATTCAAAATTTAGGGATACACAATACAAAAAAAAAAAAAAAAAAAAAAAAAAAAAAGAGTTGGAAAGTCAAATTAGGCCAAAAATAATAGTTTATTTGACAACAATAATATTAACCTTTTATTTTAAACCAATAAGAAAATCAGAAAATAGTCGGATCACTTTTAGGAAAATTAAGGGAACTCAGATCATTTGTCAAGGACATGTCATGTGGGCATGTGAAGGCTTGTTTTACTTTTTGGTTAAAGAGTACAAACTAAAATCATTTCTAGAAAATATATAAATATTAATTAACATACACTTAATACCAACCGCTTTTCTTGAAATAAAAATAACATTTATGATATTTTAAAACAAAATTTTTATCATTTAACGGAAGTTTTTATATCAACTTTAACTATTATAAATGTTTATTATTTTTTTGTAAAACAATACTCCATATATAACAAGATTTGGGTTGAATGTTTGTTATAAAAAAGAACAAGATTGATATTAAGTGCAACTCAAGCACAAAATGTACCAAAAAAAAGACTAAAGCCAAATCCATGGAATCGATTTTAATGAAGTCTTTTCACCCGTTATAAAGCACAACTCTCTTCGTAGCTAAGTATAGTTGTTATGCATGATTTTGAGCTTTGACAACTAGAAATCAAAAGTGCATTCTTACACCGGGGGTTAGAAGAAAAAAATTGTATGGATCAACCTAAAGGGTTTATCGTTCATGGGAAAGAAGATTCTGTTCAAGAGATTTGACACCTTCATGCTATCTTATAAGGTTTTAAAAAGGTCCGACTATGATAGTTGTGTGTAAATAAACAAAGGTTTGGCTATTTACCTTCTTTTTTATGTTGAATATATGTTATATGTTGCAAAAGGCAAACCATACATAGAGAAACTGAAAAAGGCGCATGGGTAGTGAATTTGAGATGAAAGACTTCATGCAATAATGTTATAATGGCATGAAAATTTATGTCGAGCTAGTGAGTACACCATTAGCTACACGCTTCAAATTATTATGGTTGTATATGTCTCTAATTAGAGGGGACGAAATGAACACTTGGTTAAAGATCGAAATGAGTTAAGGTAAAAACAAGTTTGATAATGGGTTGAGTTGACATGAAATATTACTTTTTTCTAGATATTTTTAATACTATCATTCAATACTATTAGAATGTGTTATATATATAAACTAGTTTATAACACGTGAGAACTACGGTTATAAAATTAATTAAACTTTCATAGTAAAAACTTTATTAATCAATTATTTCATTTAAATTATTTTAAATAAATTATTAATTAATGGATAGTTTTTTAGTTATATAAAATTACAATCGTTGATTTAAATAAATACATGAAATTATATCACCATATAATATATATATTAATTTTATTTTATTTTTATTCTAATGTTATTAATTTAACGTAATTAGAATGTGAAATTTAAAATTTAAAATTTAAAATGAAGAATCAATTATTAATTTAATGTAATTAGAGTGAGAAATTTAAAATTTAAAAATTGAAATAGTGAATTAATAGGTTAGCATGTCATATTATATGTGACATATAATATAAATGAGGATATCTAATATTGTGGCACTTATCAATATAAGTATAAACTTATTCATTTATTAGAATAGGAATAATTAATTTATATATTGTGCTATTATTTTTTCTCATCTACTCTTAATAACATTTTCATTATATCCCAATTATGAATTTTCTTTTTAACAATTACACACACAATATTATATCCTTAAACTTGTGCATTTTTGTCCCCATGAGAGCTTGAATCCTCAACATTTGAGTGAAAGGAGTCTATCCGCCAACTCCTCGTCCAACCATATGGTAATTTATGATTTTGTATATATATATATATATATGAGAAAAGTGAATATATCCTTAAAGGTATATAAGCTTAGGTACTCAAACTCATAATAATACGTCGTTTTGTTTGATATATTAATTATAATATTGTTAAACCTCAATCCTTAACTTGATTTATATTCAATATTATTAAATTTCCACTATTATCTTCCTCTTACATCACATCTTTTTGTCGAACACTTACTAGGTTATATATATTATTGTTGAAAATGTCAATTATGTAAGAGGAAGATAAATATAAAATTTATAAATTTTTTTGAAGTAATTCAAGTTAAAAGTTGAATTATAAGAACATTGGACAATTACAATGCTTATATATGAAACAAAACGATATAGTATGGTGAGTTTGGGTACCTAAGCTTATATACCCTTAAGGGTATATTCACTTTTCCATATATATATATATATATATATATATATATATATATATATATATATATATATATATATATATATATATAAGTTTATTACTTTGTTACTAGTTAGTCTAATTTATTAGATATGTAATTAAAACTATAATATTTTTTTTAATCTATTTTAACTACATAATTGATAAGGTGCTTAAATACCAAAAAATTATAAGAAAAAGCATTTCAAATGTATGCACATAAGTATTTAATTATTAATATTTAAAAAAAAACTTATGTATTGAATAATGTTTCTATTTGATGATAGTAATAAATAAGTTTAAAATGTTAAACATTTTCCATGCTCTATTATATATTAACTTTTTATTAAATAAATAAATGGTATGTTAATTCTTAAATGCAATCAAAAGTTTAAAGTTATATAAATATATTAATATATTATTTAATGAAAATTTCTAGAAAAAATCATAATATTTTACTTTAATTTACGAATAACTCCCATACTAAAATTTATTTATGAAAAAGCAAGATTTACTGGTAAAAATTACGATTTGCCTTTCCCCCCCAATTTACTAGTTTTATTACTCACGTAGTTCCATTAAAGTCTTATTATTTTACCCTAATTTACGAATAAACCTCAAACTAAAATTAAGTGTCAGATCAGATTTGACAATTTTCTCATTGTAACACACATTTTACAGGTTTTATTGTTAATTTGGATGCCTAATCATTAAATAAGTTAATGAGATGCATTTTATATTCCAAAAAAATATATAATACATTAGGATATCAATTTTTATAGTAAACATTATATTATATAACGCAACATATCAATCTCATCAACTCATTTAATAACTAAACGTTCAAATCAACAATAAAAACCGATAAAATGTATGTTACATGGAAAAATAGTTAAATATCATTTAATTTTAATTTGAGACTTATACCTAAATTAAGGTAAAATAATCAAACTTTAAAATAATCAAGTCAACAATGAAACCTGTAAACCGAGAAAAAAAAAATCTTAAAATCGTTATTTTTATCGGTAATTCATGTTTTTTCATAAACAAATTTTAATTTGCTTCGTAAATTATTTTTATCGGTAATTCATGTTTTTTAAAGATTTTATTATTATTTTGAACAAGCTATAAGACACATTTTAAACGATTTTTTTTTTTTTTTTTAATTTATTATTATTTTTTTTGGTACTTGAAATTCCCCCATATATACATGGGTGGAGTTGACCATTTTAGACAAAGAAAAAAACCCAACGGAAAACGTTTTAGGCTCAAGGATTCCTGATGATTCTCAGAAGCAGTGTCGCTCAGCTTCATCATCATCATCATCATCATCATCATCAACAACAACAACGGTATAATCAATTATCTTGCGCTGTTCCGCGAAAATCTTCTTCAGGTAACCTAATGATTTGGTGTTTTATCCAGATTTTGTAGTCACATTCTGTGGATTTTGATATCTGAATACTTTTGAACTTGTTAATTCGCAGAAAAGAGTCGCATCGCGTTCCCAATCTCTCCACACACCCTCTCTTTGTGTACGTGCTTCTTCTTACTTTGCCTTTTTACTTGAATCGTGGTTACATTCCGATTCCTATGTTTCTGCGTGTTCTACTTCATATAGCGATTCGATTTTGATCATAAGATTGTTGTTAATGAGATTTAGGTTGGGGTTCCAGATTAATAGTTCATAGGCGTGCATCGGGAGAGTTTCCTGATAGGATTGATAAGGGTGAACCTCCAACTTATGCACCAATTTCACCTCAGGTATTAAGTTTATTCCCTTTTGCCTTTGATTGAATTCAAGTAACATTTCAGATAAATTTAAAGAAGATATCACTGTAAATTGGTGAGCCAAACAACTAATCTATGACCTAAGACATTCCCAGTTATTCCTTCTTCAAAAGCACATCCAAACACTCCTCTATGGGTGATTTCCCTAAAAAAAATGATTGTTTTAACAGTAAATAACTTAATTAAAACATATCATTGCATGTTATCATCATCTTTATCTTGCAAATTATGAGTATTCAACATATAAAACTGGGTCAATGGTCAATAGTTCATTAAGACATGTATTGCCACATACAAAGCTCATGTCTTAATTGGATGGTTGCTAATCAAATGTTAACCAATGAACTTCTGATAATTTTCAACCTCATAAAACTATAAAGCAAGAACAATAGTGAGAAATACATGAGATAATGTATTCTTCTTATTTGTTATTTTCTATTGAAGCAATCAAATATTTTCTATCTTAAACTTTAATGCAGGTGGTTTTTCTTACTTTTTGTTATTATTCAAGTCCCATCAAATTTGCAACAATATATATTTGCTTACGTTCCATGAAAACTTCTAAAAACAGAAAGAGCTCAAGAACATGATACTGCAACTTTGAATTTGGAAAGTGCAATTTTGACCTTTATGAAATTGTTTTCTATGCAATGTTGGTCTAAAGAAACTTTAGATCACTTAAATAATGAAAAATGTCATGCAATTCCTAAAAACAAGGTATACATTGAATAAGAAAATCATGGGATTGATGTTTTTAACTAAAAGCTACTATATATTGTACTCCAACATTATATAAAAAATTCAATTCGTGTAATGATATTTCACATCAAAAGCTCATGTAACAACCTTTCTTTAATTCTTGTATGTGAAGGAATCTTTCTTTTTCATTTCTTTTGGTACTCATGGACATAAAAACCTTCAATACATGTTTTTTTT